TTTACAGATATCTTTTTTTTTTTTTACAAAAACCGTTTAAAATATGTCTTATATGTAATTTTAGACTTCGCAATTGCGTTGTCTGGGAATTTTTGCGATGCAAAAGCGAATAAATATTTTAAACGGCGCACAATTTTATGCTTTCATTGAATTCGAAAATAGAACCAACGATTCCTGGACTACAACGAAATACAAATAACTATTAAATATTTTATTTATACATCGTTAAATATTCGGAGAATATTTTATATACATATATGTACCGCAAAATTATAATTTTCTCAGAAATTCCCTATCCAAAAGTTTGGAGATCGACCCTAAATTAATTTGAAACAAAATTATACTATTTGAATGATATATATTCGATAAGATAGAAAAAAAAAATTACTATTATTATTACACTATTATTATTATTATTATTATTAATATTACTATTATTATTATTATTTTACTTATTATTATTAAATTTTTTAGAAAATTTATCTAAAAATTACACACAAATTAACACAAAAAAGCAATAACTAACCGTAAACTAGATAAGATATATTAAAGTTCTCAATTTTCGTCTTAGCGAACCAGAATTAACTAAAGTATTTTACAAAATTTCCTAAAGCGCACCGCAACCTTCAAACTTCACAATTTACTGTTTAGTTGCACGTTGAAAACGTTTGATCTGTGCCCGCACCAATTATGAGTGTTAAAGAGGATTCTGCTGGATAACGAGCGAGCAATTTTAGTCGACTAAGATCAAATCGTATCTGATAGCTTCCTTTGACGTAGACAGAATCTTTTAGTAAGCCGGATTTCCATTTCCTGCGACCCTCGACTATTTTCCTGCTCCGAGTTTTTTATGATTAAAGAGATATATTATGCGTTATACTACTTTCGATTAAAGTAATTTTATTGGTTACAAACAAAAATTTGCTATTTTATTAAACCAGCGTTGACTGTTTTTCCAAAGATAAACTTTTCAACAACAAAGCAGATGTTTCTCTTTTAAAGTTTTCTCAGAAGCTATCACATACAGTTTTTCATTCTTAATATATTGAATAAGTCAATTAAATCTTATAAATCAATTTTATATTAAAATAAAATTATAATTATAATTCGTTAACAAATAAAATATTTTTGCAAGTATTAGTTGTGTTACAAATAAATTTCAATTTTTTAATTATTTTGCTAAATGATTAAAATAATTAGAGATTGATTTATAAATTAAGTTTTAAAATCGTATTTTTCAATGTTTGATACTCTTAATAATTACTTAACATAAATTATATCAGTATTGTCCAAATGATTTATATCATAATTCTTTTTTACAGTTGTAATTCCAAATATAATTATATCATAATTAAATAAAAATATGTGCCAGTATAATTTTAGCTTAAAAAAATATGAAAATAATCTGGAACATCTTGTAAAGTATTTAAGTTAAAATAAATTAATATAATAAACATTAACGTTTCATTTAATCATTTTAAATAAATATTATTCTATTTAAGTAACTATGAAAAAAAATTTTGGAAATGTTTACAATCTATTAGAAAAATTTGGACACACATACACACATCACTGATTTTCATAGTTGCAAGAGAAGTGTCATAGATCCCATTACAGAACTTCAAGATTTAGCTTAATGCATAGACAGAGGCTTTTTATAAAGGATGTGGAGCATTTCACACCCAGAGCTCTTGTGAATGTTGAATTCCACACCCAGAATTTAAAATATATTTTTTTTTAATATTAATTTTTCGACAAATTTTTTAATTTTGTGTAATAAAAAAACAATATTTGACTAGAGTGTACAATTGTATACATATATAGAAATATATTTCATGCATATACAATATAACATAAAATATTTGTGTTATTTTAAAATTCCGCTCCCCCCCCCCC